GGGGTTGAAATTAAGCCAGGGAGGAGGAGGAGGAGGGAGGGAAAAAGAAGGGGAAAAGATTTGTTAGAAGTACTTATTTTTAATTAAAACTTTTGCAAGGTGATTTGGTGTAGTGGTGGTGATACACACTGTGCCATATCTAGTGGTGAGAAGGAATTTAAAGAAAGCTGGTGAGTAGAGATGGCTTCAGGTTGGTCATCTGGTCTAACACCTTCTGGATGTTGCTGCTGAAAAGCAAAACAAGTGAGAAAAAAATCTCTGGATACATTAAATCCCAATATATTTATAGGACAAATATTTTACATATAATTAGGAAACAGGAGTCCAGGGTTCTCCCAGATCTGTGTGGTTTGAGTGAGTCAATTCATTTCAAGGTGGTGTGCCAGTGCTTAGTGTAGATCTATTATTCACTGCCCAGGGGCTGCCAACACAGATCAATTTAAACGGCAAAGCAAAATGTTTTCAGATAGTAAAAAACACTCTGCAGATCCAATGTCCTTTTTGTTTTTAGCTCTCGGTTGGTTCAAGCAGCAGACTGGCCAGATGTTGACTTTATGGAATGGACAAGAGCTTTCTTACCACTTGGAACTGAGGTTATTCAAATCCTTAAAAAAAGAACTCCAGGAAAAATTCTGTTGTTGAGGCAGCACTGCCTCAGATGTGAGCAGTGTGAAGTGTGGATTACACTAATACTTCCCAAGCATTTAGCAGCAAAATGAGCCCAAGACTACCCCAGGCCTTGGGGTGATTAAGACTATTCCAATAGATAAAACTGGGACTTTTCTGTATGAAGCCCCTGTCCCTGTGAAGAGCACTGAGACCTCCTAAGTCCTAAACCACTGGTGGATTCGGTGTTGCACTGGGGGTCTCTTGGTTGTTTTTGATGGAAACAATAACCCACAGGAAGTGTGTTCCTAGGGTAGCAAATTCCTCACTTTCTGGCTTTTGTGGGAAGCTTTTTGGTTTTCATGTGCAAAAGACTAATGTGGCAGGCCTGGAAAAGGTGCCCAGACAACAGTGCAGGTGAGTACACATTGAAACAACAGCTGGAACTGCTCGGAAAGGCAGGGATGGAAAGGAAAGAGCCCTTCACTTCCATTCATCCCACCCTGGGAGACAGAGCATGTCCCAACAGTGCTGAGCAGACAATAGCTCCTTGCCAGCATTTAATTTGTTGAAGATTAGGGAATTATTCCATTCTTATAATACCATGTCAGTCTTGAAATACCTTTGAACTCTGGGGGATGTGAAGTTTAGATCCAGCTCAGATTTCGCAGTGTTTGGAAGGCACGGCTCAATCAGGGTGAGAACTGTATGGATGGTTTAAGGGGAGTCATGTTCATGGAGACAATGAGCTGCCTCAACTTCAGCGGCCTCTGAATTGTGGGATAACTAGATCCAGAGCAGGACACTAAACTTGGGCTTTTTTCTTTGGGATCTAAAAGCTGCCTAGTGCAAAGCAGGGGTCAGGGAGCTCTGGTTTGCTCTGTCTGCAAGGAGAGTTGGCTGCTAAAGCATTGCCCCCTTTCTGACCTCGAGCTTCCCCTCCCCGAAAACATCTGCAGCCTTGAAGCCCCATTTTTCTCTAGATGTCATCCTTACTTGATGCCCCAACCACGCTGTGTCCTCCTCAGGCTGAGGGCAGAACACTGATCTTGGATAAGCTGGGTTGAACCTCAGCAGGAGATTTCATTATTTATGATGGTTTCTAAGAGCTCTGTCACAACTGTTGGTGTCAAACCATAAGCAAAGGTTTCTCTTAGGGACATGGATGATGAACAAATACATGACACTTGGTGTCAACAGCCTCCCAGATCTGTTCCCCACCTGGAGCTCGAAGCAGCTCAGCGGTTACAAACCACGCCTCGCGCACGAGTCGCGCAGCGGTTTCAGAAGGGCTGTAAATAAATTTGTGTCCTGACGTGGGCACCAAAAATAAGCCTGTGCTGAGCCTTTCTGAGTCTTGGGCCAGGGCACAGCTGCTGCTGAACGTTTGGGAAAATGAATCCCCTCATTCAGGTGCTCAACACTTGAAAACACAGACCTGAACAAGTGCAGTGTCATCTGCTGCTCTAATAATCGAGCACTGTCGGACCCTGCAAAAACAGCCGAGTCCTTGCTGCTGAGCGGGGAAGGAGCAAGGCAGTTCTTTTCATCCTCATCCTACTGGTTATTAGAAAAACAGTCTGAAGAGACTTTTCTCTTTGGTGAAGGCAGATCATAAGCTCTGGGACTACTGTAACTATCCTCCTCTCACTCCAAGCAGTCCCATGTGCTGCTGCCACGGCTTACAGGAAAGCAAATATTCCTGGTTGCTCTGATATCAAATAGCTTTTGCTGACCTCCCTTGAAGAAAGTTCCTTGCGAAAATCCTTTTGTCCAGAGGTTTCAGTCACTTATACCCTTACAGGGCTTTCTGAGCTCTGGTGATTTATTACTCCTTGGTAATTTTGTGTTTTATGGAGAGCCCTGCTGGAAATATACGGGGCTACAAGGGTAAAAGTATCAATTAACCAGTGCCAAAAGCCACCCATGAGCAAGGAGAGGAATGGGACAGGCTATGGGATACAGTTTGGAGGATGAACTCATAGAGGAGCAGGAGCTCCCCTGTGATGGGCAGGTTTGAACCAGGACCCCATAACAGCAGGATAAGGGAGTGTAGTAAGGCTGGATCCACTCCTTCAGGGAGTAAAGTAGGGCATCAGTTTTCAGTCTCCTTACTCAGAGCAGGGTGGAACTGAGATGTGTGAAGCCTCTTCTCTTAGATCCTCTGTGAACAGGAGCAGTGGTGCACGGCTGAGCCCCAGCTGAAGACGCCAACGCAGCTCACGGCTCCCCCAGGTACATTGTGTTGGAGGTGGCTTCAGGATTCCTGCAGGGCACTCTGGCAATGGAGGAGCCCTTCAAAAAGGGAAGAGGGGCTGGTTCTTCTTGGCATATTTGGCTGAAAGAGAGGAAATGGTCTGTTCCATTGGTGGGTCGACATATTTTTGTTATTCCAGGTGTCAGTGGGTGCTGACGAAGAGCATACAGGATATGGCAGCAGGCTCTGGTTTACCTTTGTGTAACTGGCTGGTGTCAGAGGGTGCAGAAGTATCAGAGAGCACAGGATTAGTAGTGTAAAACAAAGGACAGCGTGCTCTGTCCTTATTTATGGTCTTTGAACAGGCAGAGAGGTTGTAAATCAAGGCAGAGTTTCTGCCAGGTCCCTCAGTGATGCTGCAGATCAGCACAAATCCACAGAAAGAAAAGGTAGGTAAAGCTTTACACAAGCTAAATGTTGGCTGGGCAATTCTGATCTCATCTCTCAAGTACTTCCTTGGTGGTTTAAGTGGAAGACTTTCAATTCAATGGAAATATTTTGAGTTTTGGCATTGCAGAGATGTGGAGGAGAAAGGATGATTTAAGTTGCAGTCTGTCTAAACCCCAGTCTGTAGTCACGGTCATGCTCACATCCCAGTCTGTTGGGATTCACAGTGCTTTGGCAATAGTTTCCCGAACTTGCTTTGTAAGTGCCTGGATTTTGCACAACTTGCCATGGTTGTGGACAGAAGCAATGACCAACACTCTGTGGGATTCTTTGATCTCCCCTGAGCACCACAGCTTTCCTGGGACCTGGTTTCTGGGATCACAACCCTTTACTCAGGGAGGAGAGTAAGGAATACAGGTCACCAGCAGGCCAGGCTGGGAACTCCTCTCTTCCACAGTGAGGAGCTACTCACTGCAACAAACTCATGAGGTCTGTAGATCATTATTTTCATTAGTGGTGATTCATGGTGAGGGTTTCCCAATCAGGCCTGCTGGTGTAACACGTTCCTTTCCACAGCACCATTTATCTAAAGATCTCCAAATACTTTATGTACATTAAACTTTAATCCATGTTTTACCACCAGTGAAGTAGGTGAGGAGGATCATTTCCATTTGGCAAATGAGTGCAAGAAAGTGCCTTGCCCAAGACTCTGCAGGTTGGTTGCAAAGTTGTGGATCTGACAGTGAGTGTTTGTTTCCCATACGTGGCCCTATTTCCCTGCCCAGATTTTAAAGGAACATTTGATTTCCTGGGGCTAAGGCTGAGCAGGAATCAGCTACAGCTGTAAATCAGAAGGCCTGATATGATTCAGAACTTCCTCTAGAGCTTGGGATCTGGATTTGTCATCCCAGAACGGCCCCGACCTGAAAGGATTGGAGCAGAACTGGTTCGTTTATGGGGATGGTATCAACTAGTTGGTGTAAGTTGTGGAGTCAAGAGTCAGTGAAGAATTTTTGGGACCTATTCATCCTCATCTTCCTATATGGTCAGTGTGGACAATATAGGCTGCAAGTGTGATTCATGTGATGCAGGGAATGAGCTGTGAATTGAACTGTGTTGTCTCTTGGCTGGAAGGGGAGATGAGGTGACTTGCAAGTGAACCCTGTCCTGGTGTCCACAGGGAAGCAAAGTTGGGAACTGAATGGGGACAGATTTCAACATTTGCTTGAAGTTTCATCTCTTCTGGTAATTAGACGTGACTTCATTGGGGTGTGTTATAACAGCCCCTACAAAGAGAAAAACTAGTCAGTGGAAAGGCAATCCTTCCTTCCCTGGGCTGACCTGGCAAGACCCCCCCGCTGAGGGAAAGCTGTGCAGCTTGGGAGAATCACAGAGTAGGGGAGGTTGGAAGGGACCTCTGGAGATCATCCAGTCCAACCCCCTTGCCAAAGCAGAGTAACCTAGAGCAGGTGACATAGGAATTCATCCATGTGGGAAGGAACAGGCCAGAGAGGGGAACTGAGTTGCTTGTGGTCATTTGGAGGTGGTCCTGTGCAGGGCTGAGGGTTGGACTCCATGATCGTGGTGGGACTCTTCCAACTCAGCATGTTCTGTGATCCTGTGATTTAACAAGCGAATGACAGAGCCAGGACAACTATTCCTGTCTCCCTCCTGTCCCCAAGTGCTCCCACCACTTGAACACATTGCCACTGAAGTGACCTTTCTCCCCCTCTGCTTCCCTCCCTGCCAGGTTCGCCCTCTCTGCGGGCGTATCCCCTCATCTCTGTCATCACCAGGCAGCCCTCCGTGGTCCCCCCCCTGCTCCCCGCTGCCACCAGCTCCCGGGTGCTGCCAGCCCAGCCCTGCCCGGGCCCTGGGGGCTCAGAGCCCGTGGCCAGCGAGGCCCAGGGCAGCAGCGAGTCGGAGGCAGAGCAGCCCACGCCCAGGATCAAGAAGCCGCGCCGCAGTAGGACCATCTTCACCGAGATCCAGCTGATGGGCCTGGAGAAGAAATTCCAGAAGCAGAAGTATCTCTCTACCCCCGACAGGTAGGTCAGTGGCTCACAGCAGGATCAGGGATGAACAGAAGGGCTGCTCCAGCCCTGCTCAGCTGTCCCCACACTGAACACTCCCTGTGGATGTGCTGCTTTCTGGCTCCACAGAGAGGTCTCTGCATTGGCCAAGGACGTGGGCAGACCATAAAATCACAAAATGGGCTGTGTTGGAAGGGACCCTCAAGGATAATCAGTCCAACTCCTGGCCCCGCCCAGACACCCCAACAATCCCACCCTGTGCTCACAGCATTGGCCAAACACTCCTGCAGCTCTGGCACTTCACAGCACAGGGGGATGGCACCAAAGGAAAACAAAACTTTGGAACTGGTGAGTTTTTGATGAAGATTGAAGTATAACAACCTCATTCCTCCTTGTCTTACCTTTCATGATGCAGATTTCCCTAAATCATTCAAAGGTGGACAGCACTCAGTTTAACTTGCAGCTCTGCTGTGACTTGAGATCCAGATCAAACCACTCCTCACTGCCAGCCCTGGGTGGGCAAGGCTGAGGAACACTCACAACGTCCTCATGGGGATGGACCTGGCAGGAATTCAGCCCTCTGCAGTCAGGAGCCTCCTGGACCAGCTCAGACCCATGGCAGCTGCACGTTAGAGACTGGCTGCTGGGTGGCCAGATTCAAATTCAAGGCTAACTTCTCCTGGGATCACAGGTGACAGGAATAGAGCACATCAGTGGAAATCAGCTGTGGTGTATGTGCTTGGAGCAGGTCTCCAGGCTCAGAGGTACAGAGCAAGAGCTCTCTGTCTTTCCCACTCCTGCTGCACACTTGAAAAAAGATGGAGCCTGTCTTGCCCTGAGCTCTGGTGGGGGATGGTGTGTGTCCATGGCACCTGAGGGGTTAGCTCTCCAGCTGGCTGCTGATCTGGCTCCAGCCAGCACCTTGGGTAGCAATTCAGTGGGAAGGTGGTGTGTCCTGTCCATCAGCTTGGAAAACAGAGCCAGGGTTGCCTGGAGTTGACTTCTGCCTGCAAAGGCACAGGCAAGTTCCTTGTCATTTGAAGGAAAAGGTGAGTTCTTAGGGACTACTTGGTACCACATGGGCAAACCAAACTAAGAGAGGCTTTAGCTTTTTTAAAGGCTTTCAATTCTACTCTTCAAATTTAAATTATAGGGAAAAAGACCCATCCAATTTCTACAAAGTTTGTAAACCTAGAGGAGGTACAGGAAAAAGACCCATCCAATTTCTATGAAGTTTGTAAACCTAGAGAGGGTTTGAAAGGTACCCCAGCCCTGGATTTAAATTTAAACTGAAGATGGCATTCTCTGCTGCCTGTCACCAAAGCCAAGGGTCACAGCAAGACCAGATTTCCTGGCCATGGCCACCCTGTCTCACAGCAGAGTTCCTAATGCACTGACTCCTCACAGCTTCATTTCACAAGATGGTTGACACTTGCTGAAGCCCTTCAGGCTGTTAATTAACATTATCATGTGACTGTTCCTTGGCTTTGTACACGTTTGGGGCTGATGAGCAATTCCTGTCCACGTCCCACGTCCCCTGTGTTTGTTTCCTTGGGTTTCCAGGCAGTGCTGGTGACAGAGGTGTGTGGCAAGAGGTGGCACCCTGCTTGCAGGTAGTCAAAGAGTTACAGGACATGTGAACTAAGTCACCAAGAGTTGGCCAAGCTGTGTTTCTCTCTGTCAGCTCCTGGCTGGAAATGTGATGGCAAAGCAGTGAATTTGCGATCCATGTTCACTCCTGCAGCTTTTGGCCTGGACAGAAGGTTGTACCCCTGGGAGGGCACCTGGAGCACCTGGTTTATTGGTAGTGAGGGAGTGTGGTGTGACAGGGCAACAACTGCCAGATTTTGCTCTTAAATATCAGCAATGACATCTTAAATCAATGGGGTACAGACATTATGTGGTGGCATAACAAACCTGCAGGTCCAGAGTGATTCCAAAGCAGGGGAGAAGCAAGAATCCATGAGAGTGAGTTGGAGCCCAGGGAGGTGGTGTGGGGGATGTGGGTGCTTGAAAATACAAGTCTCGTTGCCCCAGGAGCCCAACTGAAATAAGAGTTTTATTATGAAAAACTCAGCCTTGACAAATGTGCTCCCCCATCCAAAGGCAAGGAGATATTTGCCAAGAAGTCACAGAATCCAGAACACTTTGGAATGTGGCTCTGAGTTGGAGCTGTCCCACCTGCAGGACTCATGTGACTCTGTGGGGCACTTTCCTGGTGTTGCTGAGGATTTCCAACCCCATCCCTTGTGCAATTCCATTACAAAACTGCCACATTCATGTGCTGTCACCTGTGGGGAAGGATCAGGAGTTACCCTGAGCTGCATTTGCCTCATATCCTGGGGTTTAATATAGAAATAATGAATGGCTTCACATGAACTTGCCTGGGTTGGAGATTTGTGGAGGATGAATGAGGATTATGGGTTGTCTGCCACTCAGACCCTGAAGCAAAACACACAAATAATGAATTCCCTTATAAGCCCAAATTGCCTACAATGGCAGAGTGCTGATGAAATGAATAGATTAAGATGTACTCCTGTTCCATTAGAAATGGGAAAGGATTATGATTTATGTAGGTAGTGAAGAAGAAATGTGATACAAAGAATAGCACTTTCAAAGGCAGACTGATGCTGGTGTCTGCTCCTACGCGTTTGCTTCAAACAGCAGAGGCCTGTTTTTCAGGGATGTGATGTCCCCAAGTCATGGGCAAACACAGAGTGTCAGCAGTTGGAGTGCAGCAGGTCTGTGTTTCCAAGAGGGCAGGCAAACCCCGTGACTTCTAGGAGGAGAAAAGGGAACAGAGAGTCTGAAAACACCTAAATATTCCTGTTTCTTCCATAGCAGCCTCTGTCTTTACATCCTAAATTCATGGTATTTACTGCTTTTGTGAGACTGTTCTCAAAACAACAGATCAGAGGACACTGTTGAATGCTCTTACAGTGTTGGATTGATTGTTGTACCTGGGATCTGAGCTCTTCTTGTCCTCTGTAAAGTCATTTCAGTGTCTGTTTTGTCTCCCAGGCTCGACCTAGCCCAGTCCTTGGGGCTGACTCAGCTCCAGGTGAAGACGTGGTACCAGAACCGTAGGATGAAGTGGAAAAAAATGGTGAGTGGTTCCTTGTCATGTCTCCACGGTCCTTAAAAACTAGTTGCAAAAGAACAGATTTGAAAGCTGAGCATCCTGTCAGTAATTTGAGTCTATTTATACCAAGTTTGGTTTTATTCTTGATCGTTTTTCCTAGAGATGGTCTCTTTTTTTAACGTGTTCATACTGCAGCATGTGTGGTGGGCAAGGGGGGACCACAGGCAGGAGAAAGGATACAAAGCAAAGGGGTGAAAGAAATGAGAGTAGAACAGAGGGAAGAACCAAAATATCTCCCTCTGCATTTTTGGCACTCCTGTGATCTCAGTGCTTTGGGATTGGTTCTGTGCACAGACAAAAAGGTTGTGTTGCTCTGCAGAAAACAGTGCAGTTTGGAGAGCTGATATCGCTAATTCCTGCCTTTCATCTCTTCTTTTCTCCTCTTTGTGGCCCTTTCCCAGTTAAAACCTTTTTAGAAAGGAGACCCATGCAATAAGTCCTGGTTGGGAACCACAATGCTGTGACATTCTCCAGTGGAGGTGTTCGTGAATTTTGATCTGGGAGAGGACATGCAGTTCTAGGCTGTTCCTTGGAATGTATGTGACAGTTACTGCCACTTCAAACCAATTTGGGATTAGCTTGGATACAGATCTTTGGCTGGAAGTCTTGCTGCTGCAGTGATGGTGTGAAGGGAGAGGGAATTAGACACAGGAACAGGATGGAGTTCAAGTTGATCCTGATGGTTCATCTCTTTGCTCCAGGTGCTGAAGGGGGGCCAGGAAGCTCCAACGAAGCCCAAAGGCCGCCCCAAGAAAAACTCCATTCCCACCTCGGAGGAGATTGAAGCAGAGGAGAAAATGAACAGCCAGGCCCAGAGTCAGGAGCCAGAGGGATCTCAAGCCCCTGAGGAGCCTAAACTGACAGAGGAGAAGCCAGAAGAAGCCTCGCTGGAGACAGAGAAATCTCCAGAACATATACCAGAACCCTCCTCAGAGGAGACTACACCACTAAGTTAAAAGGGAAAGAAAGGAGGGAAAAAGAAAAGCAAAAAAGAGATAAAAGAGGAAAACCAAAACCAAATATATATATGTATATATATATTTAAATATGTATGTAATGGTGTGTGTGTACATATATATATAAATATATATATATATGTAGACCTTGTGCATAAGTCTAAAGATTGGTCACTTTGTGCCTTTGGGAATCAGCCATCGTGGGCCAGGTGGAACAAAGACATCCCGTGGGAGTGGTGCCAACCTGTCCCTCTGGTGAGGGAGCTTTGGGATGGGGGCCTGAACATGATTCCAGGGAAAGCACATCTGGAAACCCAAGACAGCTCCTGGAGAGGTCCAGGGGAAGGTGGGAGGCAGAGGTGTGTGGTGTGGCTGGGCTGGAGGGCTCAGGGTGTTCTCTTGGCTTTACCCTTGCCCTGGAGTTGTGCAAAAGAACAAAGAGCTTGGCCTGGTCTCGGACCAGCGGCAGACAAGGAACGGGAGCTCCAATGGCACCATTTCCTCCTGTAACCAGCACTGATTTCATCAGGGATGGGCCCATCTTCAAACAACTCTAGGAAGGGGCTCAGACCCCCAGGTTTGCTTTGGCCCAGGGTGAGCTCAAAGCTTCCAAAGGGAGATCCTCTCCCGGGTCAGGATTCCAATTGCATCTCTCTGGGTTGTTTGGGTGCCGTGTCTGTGAATTTGCAGTGATCCAGGATTAAACTTGGAATTAGATGAGGGTTTGGATTTCAGTCTGCTCCAAAAGCTTTGGGATGCTTGGATCTGGGATTTTTGCTTTGGGCCCACTACTAATTTTTGTAGGTTTTTTTTTTTAAATGAACTATTCAATGTTTTCAGGGTTTGGGCAGGATGATGGATTTCAGAAGTTGCTGCAGAAAGTTGGTGTTTGTTTAAGATGTGCGCCAAGAATAGATGTGCATCATGTTTCATAAAGTCTTGGTAAGGGTGCATTTTGCCCAAAGGCTGCAAGAGATGTATTAAGATAACCTTTATTTTTTAATTAAAAATTAAATATATAAATCAAACCGCTGTGGTGGTTGTTTCTCTTTCAGAGATTCTCACTTCAGAGTGTTAGACAGGGACTTTTTTGGGCTTGTTTTTTCTATTCTAACAAAACCTGGAGAAAGGGGAGTCATCAGACTTTCCTGCACAGAAAGCTCTGTGTAAACTACTTGTAGCACCTTGCTAAGGTGAGGGTGTAAATGCCACTTGTCACTGGGTGAATGTGTCAGACCCAGGGCACTACTTTCTGTCACTTCCCCTGCTCCAGTTTTGGACACCCAAATAATGTCTCTTTGTGACAATGTGAAGATGATTTCTTAATATCCCTTTTTTGGGATGGTGGCAAGGATTACACCCAGAGATCTCCAGTGCCTTATCCAAGGAGAGCTGAGTGGGGAGAAAGGGTTTCTTTTCTCCCCAGTTTCTTGCTCAGAGGTGTTTGGAAGTGTCTAATTACAGCTCTGCATCAGCTCTGGGATGGGATTACCTGAATCCAGTAATACTCAGGTGGTGAAACTCCAGCTGCCTTCGACCAAGCCAGGGTGGGACATGCTCCACTCACCGTGTGTTTAACACACAATAATCCACTTGGGAAAAGGCAACTACTGCTTGAAGTGCATTTACAGGTTTGCACCTAAACCTAATCCAGACTTACCACAGCAAGGCTCATTTACAAAGAACTTGGAAACCCTCAGGTATTTGATGGCTCTTATGCTCCTTTTTCCTATGTGAGATGGAAATGAGATAAAACATTTCCCTCTTGCCAGTTGTGTTGAAAACAGCTGGGAGCTGCAAAGTCTTTCCTCTGCCACTAAAATGCATCAAAATGTGGTTGTCTTTGGACATTTTTTCTTTCCACGGAGCCCTGACAGGCTCATGACAGGCACAGTGAGAGGCAAAGGTGGTGGGGCAGGATTTTGGCACTTGCCTGGAGTGTGTTGTTTGCACATTTTTATCCGTGCATGTCTTTTTTCCCCTTTTCTTTCCAGAACTGTGCTTTAGTTCAACCGTATCTATTGGCCTTGAAATGGCATTTAATTTAAAAAAGGCCTATAGCCTGTTTATACAGGAATTAGATTAGATGGTCTCTCAGATCCATAATCATCCTCTATTGTTCTTGGATAGTGGCATCAGCACTCTTATCTCAAAATAAAATGTTTGCACAAGTCTGAAATGCCACAGTACTTGGGGAGGGTGAAGAGAGCAATTTACTGGAAATAATTTGTCTAACAATGAGTTTCACCATCAGATTACAAAAAAACCCTGTGCAAGAATCTCTACTCCATTGACTTATAAGCCTGAATAATTGATTAAATCAAATTTTACATGCAGAACATTCTAGAAACAAAAAGCTGACTGTCAGGGAAGGCATCAAAGATATTTTAACTTGTCTGGGTTCAAAGTGAAATATAGTGAATCTGTTCTCAAGGCCAGGCTAGACAAGGCTTGGAGCAACCTGGTCTATGGAAGGTGTTCCTTCCCATGGCAGGGGCTGGAATGGGATGAGCTCTAAGGTCCCTTCCAGCCCAAACCATTCTGAGATTTTATTAATTTTTCAAGATAAATTTCAGAGGTGTGTTTTAAACACAGCATTTTGGGAATTTCAGTGTTTAGCCTTTCATTCAACCCAAGCATATTCCATACAATAATAATGAGTGTGGGTTTGGTAGTTTTTTTGCTTTTTGTGCCCAATGGATTTGTCTAAATTCCTGAAGAATTTTGATAGATTTAGGTAAGAAGAAACAGGGGGGGGGGAAATCACTTTCTTGCCCAGAACTAGGAAGTGGTGTGTGGGGTTTCTGCACTATCCAATGAAATGGATAAGAATGAAAATAAAAAATTTCCAAAAATTTTAAGGATATGTGTCTAAACCCCAAGCAAAGCAAAGTTGGCCATTTTCCAGCCAAGGGTAAAGTGAGTTTTACAAAATGACATTTCCCACTTTGCAGATGAAAATAATTGCTTCTGACTCAGCCCCATTTTGCAGTGGGAACAGTTCCAGTGATGTTTTAATTATTTTTTTTCCTTGTTAATCCCATTCTAATCACTTATGAGTCAATCTGGGTGAAAATGCAATACTCCAACTGCCTAGGCTAGTTTTTAATGAGTCCATAAGACACTAAAGATGTTTTTGTTCCTCCTTTGTCAGAGTAGCAATCTCAGTATCTGATTTTTCAATGTGATTGTTTAAGTGCAAAATGAGCCCTCAGAACACCCTCTGCTCTGCTCACACTGAATGACTTTCACTGTCTCTCCTGATAATCTCCGGAGTGTCCATGGAAAGCATGATCAGAATGTGTGTTTGGATGGAGAGGAAACAGCAGGGGAGAAAGGGGGGAACCACTGAATTATTTCTTGCCTAAATCTTTTCATCCTTCTTGTCTGCTCCATGTTGGAGTAAAACATCTACAAATTCTGGTGGAACTGAACATACTGATCCCACCCATTGCTGGGAGGCAAGTGCTGCTTTTCCTTTTGTTTTAAGATTTTTCCTCCTTTGGGCTGATTTTTGGTGGAATGCCAAGAATTGAGCAACTCTTCCATTTGCCTTGGGCTGAGCTGAGCTGGGCTGGAGGAAGTTTAGCTTTGGAGTTTAGCCCCTAACAAGGGCTGTGGTGCTGCCCAGCTCTTGTGGCTGTGAGTTGAGTTTGTTCCCAGCTCCTGAGACCCAGAAAGAACAGCACAGGTCTCTGTGCTGTCCCTGTGCTGGCTCTGCCTCTTGGCCTTAATTCAGATGTGAGGCCAAACTGCTGCTCCCTGGGCTGGGGACTGAGGGAATGTGCACAAAGAGGCTTCACCTGCACCCCCAGAGTGACAGCCAAGGGCTGTCCAAGGGCCTTTAGTGGGTCCTGAAGGTGCTTTTATTTCTATAAAAGACTGGTGAGTGTTGTGCCTCCCAGGAGCTGCTGTCCCAGGAGTGTTGGTTGCTCATCCCAGGAGCCTGACCAGAGACATGAACCCTTGGGGGCTGAACCTCCTGAAGTTCAGGGGTGTTTGGCTTCCAGTTCCAGTCCTGACAGCGAGGAACAAGCCCCGGTGTCGAAATCCAAACTCCCCTGCAGGGATGGAAACTGCTCATATCCGGAGTTCTGGCTGGGACCCACCTCTGATTGTACCCACTGCCGAGATAATTCTGCAAAGCTCTGAGCTCATCCCACAGGCTGGTTCCCCCAGGTCCCAGCAAGGATGAACAAGGAAAAAAAAAAGTCTGGATTCATTTAGCTTCAGGCCAGTACAATGAAATTTGGTGTTTGGGTGGGTTTAGCGTTCCCCCCTCTTTCCATCATCTTTCTTCGGCAGCAAAATGGAAAAGGATAGTAAGAAAGGAATGAGTGAAAAAAGAGGAGCCAAGGAAGAGAGAAAGAAAAGGCAAAAGGGAAAAGCTTAACTGCATCAAACTACACAATGAAACTACATAAATATAAAAATTAGGGGGAAAATAATTGTGGTGAAAAGTCAACTATTTTTTTGGACAGATAAAGCTCTATTTCTGTAAAGTGAGATTTTTCTAGGGTTTAGCTACATGTGCAAGGATGATGACTGACAGGTTTTTTCATAAGTTTATTTTTATATAATAGAAGTTAAAGCGTAGCTGGGTAAAGAACAGTTGGATTAGACTTAGACTACGATACTGGATTTGAGCCCAAATTTCTGACTTGACAAAGGGAGAGATTTGGTGAAACCTAGATCCTACAGAATCTTACATGTTGGGCATGGATACCCCATGAGAACCCAGCTCCTCTTTCTTCCCAGGGTCTGGTACTGCCAAGGAGGATTTATCAGGTTTTATTGTAAACTGAAGAAGAGGTGGTCTGGGGACATCAATCTTTGGAGCACAGTAGCTTTTTGTTTTTACACTGAAGTTGCCATTTAAATCTCCTAAATTAGAGTTATTTGGTTAAAATACAATAAAAACCCCCCACCAAAACAGAAAAGCCCCACTCAACCTATCACTTGTCTTGTGTCTAGGAATCTATAACTGGATACAAGCTTTAGACCTTGAAGTCCTGCAGTTT